ATACAAGCTCGACGGCCTGAATCAATGGATTATTCTGCAGAGAGAGTTATATTGAGGAACTGAACAAAAGTCCTTTTCAAAGCGTAAATATTTTAATTGCTCTCTAATTCTACTTCTTTTATATAAATAAAACACATCTCATCTGCTGCTTCCCAAGTCTGGAGGAGCAGAAAGACAGCTGCTTTTCCCAGCACTTACTTGCAGCAGTGGCATTAACTATGTTGTTGCTGTTAGTTGCCATCATCAAGTCGACTCTGAGTCACAGTGACCTCATGTATAACAGATGGAAATGTTGTCTACTCCTGTCCATCTTCATGATTGTGGGTATGTTTGAGTCCATTGTCGAGGTTACTGTGTAGTGCCTTCCAGCCTGGGAAGCTCATCCTTCAGCACTAGAACTCGTTGCCCTATCAGGTCATATTCAGTTGTGATCCATAGGGTTTTCATTAGCTAATGGTTAAGCACTCGGCTGCTAACTGAAAGGTTGGTGGTTCGAAACTACCCAGTGGCTCCATAAGAGAAAGATGTGATGATCTGTCCCTGTAAAGATTACAGCCTAGAGAACCCTATGGGGCCATTGTGCTCTGTCACAAGGCATCGCTATGAGTCAAAGTCAATCCAATGTCACCTAACAACACAACAGTTTTCAGAAGTACATCATGAGGCCCTTCTTCCTAGTCTGTCTTAGTTTGGAAGCTCTGTTGAAACCTGTCCACTGTGCGTGACCCCGCCGGTGTCTGAAATATCAGTGGCTTAGCTTCCATCATTATAGTAACATGCAATTCACCACAGTACAACACACTGACAGATGGTTGGTGGAGCACCAGAAATCTATAAACTGGTGTCCTAAGCAAGACAGGCTGTAGAAGCTTTTCCTGCCACTATTAGAATCTAGTTTCGTTTGTTAGACAAATCAGAATTTCAAATTGAGAGACACTGCTTCCCCAATGATATCATAAAGAAGGCAGAGAGCTGAAACCTTCTTACAGAACCTCACATCACAGGGTTGACAATTCAAATCTGCCTTCCACGCTTCCACTCAAAGAAGCGAGAGCCTGAGATGGTGTCCAAGAAAGTTCAGGCGGTTGTTCAGAAGCATGTATGTCTCATCTTTGAAGATATCTCTGAATTTATATTTGGACAATCTTAGGGAACAAGAAAAACATTCACTCTATCAATAACTTCAAACCCTCATTTGTTCCTAAATTCAATCTTCTCAGCTACGAAGCTAATAACAAAAAGAAAAGCAGACTGATTCAAACTTCATTTTTCTCTCTCCTCCAGTTTATTATCAGATAAAGTACAGCAGTGGTTGAAAGGCAGGCAGAAGGAAAAATATATTAAAAACAAAACCAGTCTTCAACCTGAACTAGAGGCCTTCACATACAGCCCTTCATTTTTAAAGACTGGTGGGGACAGAACAGGGACATAGAAGAAAAGAGAGACAGTTATATCTGTATTTGAACAACCATTAGCAGTACTTTTTGACTGGTGTCATGTCCACCAGCAAAAAGCAAAATAAAAGTCATCTATCCATGCTTCCTTTATTAAATTGATATATTTATCGGTTGCAGTCCAGTCGATTCCGACTCAAAGCGACATCAAGTCCACATTGTGGTAGGCAGAGTAATGCTCCCCACCCTACCCCCCTAAAAAATACTGATGTCCGGAATCTCTGGAACCTGTGAATATGTTACCTTATTTGGCTAAGATGAATGTATGCTGCAGATGAAATTAAGGTTGCCAATCAGATGACGTTAAAATAGGGAGATTATCCCAGATCATACAGGTGGGCCCAATGGGATCACAAGGGTCCGTAAAGGTGGAAGATGGAGGTGGAAGAGGAGGTCGTAGGGACAGGATGTAGTATGAGAGGGACTGGATCTGTAGTTGTTGGCTTTGAAGATGGAGAAAGAAGTTCAGGGGCCAAGGAATGTGGGTGGCCTCCAAAAGCTAGAAAAAGCAATGAAATAGATTCTCCCCTAGGGCCTCCAAAAAGGAGCGCAGCCCTGCTGACACCTTTGGAATTCTGAACTACACAACTATAAGATAATACATTTGTATTGCTTAAGCTATTGAGTTTGTGGTAATTTGTTACAGCAGCAATAGAAAACTAATATACACATGATAAAAATATATATAACTGACAGACTGTTTTGGTTATAAAAGTAAGGTACGTATACTACTAACAGAAGCAATCATGGAAAAATACTGTAGATAGTTTAATGTTCCTCGTCATTCCCATCCTCTACCCTCCTCTGATATCGACTCTTAACCAATACGTATCTGTATTTGGGGTGGGATCCTCTGCCTCTTGGCCTGCCACAGCCATAGGTCGCCATCTATGCCGTCTTGGCAGCACACATGGGGTCCAGGCCTTAGACTATGGCCCGTAGACAATGCAAAAAGATAGCACTAGTGCCATTGTAAGAAATTGTACCTAAAAATTGGCTCTTAGATCTTGCTAAAGACAGTTTTATAATTTAATCATGCTAAAGACAGCCGTATAATTTAATCATGATGAAAATTTCTGAGTGACAGTTTGGGGAGCTTGCTGTCACCTGACAGGATCACACCCTGGGAAGGCAGAACGTCGTCACTGCCTATCAGAACACATCACCATGATGAATCACATGAACCTGATAGCCATGCTCACCTCTGCCTGCCTGTCACCTCTGGTTTCCTTTGCTAACAATGTACTCTTGGGGGTTAATGTAGTGAATTACAACTTCTAGAGGATTTAAGTGTCTGAGTATTCATCCCCTTCATATAGTCCTCTGCAGGGCTTTGACAATATCCTTCCATACAACTTAGCCATGCATATATCAACAACGATAGTATTTGCATTGTCATCATTTACCAAAGTCCAGATTTCTCGAATTCAGGAGAAGCAGGACGAATGAAATCTGCTCAGAAAACAGACACCTGATACTAGAACACGAGACAGCCAGTGAGGTCACCTTCTCCTGGAAGAACAGGTGTCTCCTGGCACGCAAAAGCTGAGGACCCATTGGATTTCCCACTGCAGGACATGAAGAGTTGAACTGATCCAGGGACAAAGTGGCCACAGCCATTTCAGAAACAATTGATTTAACCCCCCCTATTTTTTTTCTTGGCTTGAATGTCACAAAGGCCGCCCTGCTCCTTCTTCCTTCTCTCCCAGGGATGATTTGTACCTGAATTGCAAGGTCTATCCTAATCAACAGAAGTACACTTAGAGGAAGCTACAGTTATAATCACAAGGGAATTGATAGGCTTCTTCCCTCCAGTTCTTGAATCCTGCCTCTCCTCGAGCAGAGCTGCTTAGACACTGGCAGTCTAGATTGCAGCTTCCAGATCAAAGCTGTCCAGGGAGAAGGGTCACTGGGGCCTAGTCCAGTGCATTAAATGTTGTTGTTGTTAGTTGCCATCAAGTCAATTCCAACTCTTGGCTACCCCATTTGTTACAGAATAGAACTGCTCCATAGAGTTTCAAGGCTTTTACCTTTCGGAAGCAGATCTCCAGGCCTGTCTTCTGAGGCGCCTCTGGGTGGGTCTGTACTGCCAACCTTTTGGCTAGTAGTCAGAAGCTTAACCATTTGTGTCATAGGTCGCTCAAAATGCAAAGGAAAGACTGTGGTATGTGAGATAGAATGGCATCTGACTGCTGTCACTGCAGGTAAGGTCATTATACTGATGGAGACGCTCAGGTTAGACATGACGGAGGCTTTCAGAAGAGTCACATTTCCTTCTCCTAATTTCTTTCTTTTCAACCAATTTCAGTTCAAGATGCCACAAACCAGAATAGAGCAGGAACGAAAGATGAGATGTAAATTCAGACGAAAGGTGGCAGGGAGGCAAAGAACAATAAGAATCTCAAACACAGATGGAATTCAGACATTATGTGATGGGCCAAGCATAAGCCCATAGTGGTCTATTGAATGACTGAGACCAGTGTCTTAGAATTTACACTGTCATCTGCTGGGGGTAGAGTTTAGGCATGGTTACTTCCCTTAGTACCAGACGAGTGGGCTCGAGTGATGCCCAGAGCCATAATGCAGTAGAAAATTACAGGTTATTAAAGCCTGAAACATTATCTGTCCTAGTGAAAATCCTATGGATCACAATGGTCCTATACACAGCTGATGGGGGGTTGATGCAGGACAGGCATTGTGTATAGGATTGTCATGAATTGGGGCTGACGCAATGGCAACAGTCAGCAATTACTATCAGCCATGTCCCTACTACTAACAAGTATCATCAACACCCAGCTTCACTTCTATATAGAGACATCTTTGCTATAACGATAAAGATTTTGTGTATCTCCAAGTCTGTATGATACCATTGCTTGCTTTGAGTTGGTCAATATTCTTCTCTCAACCCAACACTCACAAATAGAAATATGTAATTCACACTCTTGCATGAAATTACAATATAGAAACCAAAGGACACTTCAGTTCAAGGAATCAAATGATTACTGTAAACCGAGATATGCTATTTATAAACTTAATTCTTCAATTCTCTGAAAATGATCTTTCAGTTTAACAAAAATTCCTTTTGACACAGCAAAATGCAGATTATCTCAATGCATCCATAATCCACAAAGAACTAAAACAACCTAGGCATAGCAGTCTTCCTGATTTCATTCTCCTCTTGGCAAGTCATTTGCTTGCAATTCAGCTTGCAAGAACAAGGCATCTTAAACTAATGCCATTAAAAAAACAAAAACAAAAAGCTTTCATCCAAACAATGTATCTCTGGAAAGGGTAGAAAGGGTCTCTGATGGTGGCCCAGCTTGGTAAACCAAAAAGAACAAAGCAGCTCCTAGCTTACCCCCAGAGAGATGAGAGTATGATCAACATGCAGTTTCAGCTCTATATAAATATGTCTTTCTCCATTCTCAAAATACCTAAAAGGTCCCAGTCTTCCACACACAGTTTTGGGATCTTTCAATGGCCCTGAGGATGACTTGCCTTTGATGACATGGGGAAGCCCTTGTCACTACCTCAGCTTCACTTTACCTTGTTGAAGTCTTCAGAAGTGGCCCTCATTTCCTTCCACGTCTTGTTCAGGAGCTGGATACAGATGCAGAAAAACTCCTCAAAGGATCTGTCATGGGTGAAGAACATCGGGTGGAAGTCGTTGCAGGTCTCACTAGCTGGAGGGAAGAAAGGCGGAATAAAGGAGGAAGTTTTAAAGCCATGAAGTGAGTGGATACAGTCAAATGGAGGCTTCCCAAAGAGAGATGAGGGGAGTCATCCTGGTTCAAGTAAGACTGGAGAAAAGACATTTTGAAAAAGCAACCAAAGAATAGCCCCCATACAACTTAGAAGTTTAGGATCAGATGGGCCAACCTAACCCTTAGACAGTATTTTAACTAAAGAAAGTTCACTCTTAACCCACCCCAAGACATGAACCTTATTCCTTTGTTCCATGATCCCTGGTGTTGAGTATAAGTCCTGGATCTGCCTTCATGAAATTGTAGAGACTCTTTAAACAGCCCTCTGGAGTGCAGCTCCTCCATCACCCTTAACTTCCCCTTTCTCAACAGAATAGCTGGCAGGAGACAGGCTTTCCCAAACACATGATTAATTGCAACTTTGAAAATAACATCCTTGATTACTTCTCCAGGGGTCTCTTTGTCTTCTTATGGCACAAGCTGGGAACACGTAAGATCATTAACCATCTTGTACCATTAGCTATTTGTTCTCCATTCCTAAGCACAGAGGGCTGGAGGTCAAAGCAACCAAAATAATTTTGAAGGCTGCAGCTGGTCCAGTCCTGACAAGACCACGAAGTCACCTTTGAGACTCCTCCTGCAGAGCCTCCTCAGGTCAGATCCAGTGCTCTGAGCTCTAGGTGCAGCCACCTCTCTCCTCCTTCCCTGACCAGTGCCCAGCCCTTCTCTTAATCCCAGTGGTCTATCAAGCTTATATTTGTATAGCCCTTTTACATCTATTATGTGGCATTTGCTATTTACCATGCCTCTGGGCAGTACTCAGAGCTGTTATTATTTATGGATGAGAATATGGTGGAGCCCAAGGAACCAAGCTTTGTGACCCTCCAAAACTAGTGCAACAAGTTCTTTGCAAAACAATTTTTTAAACAAATATATAAGCTGTTATATACAGAGAAAGTATTTCTATTTTAATTGTGAACTCTTTAAAAACCAATTAGTCTCCAAGGCCAGGAATCGTGGAATTTCAGGCCTCAGCAAACCGGGAGAGGAGAAAGGTGAGGAGTGAGAATGGGGTTCACAGTAGAGAATCCTTTCGCACTTGGGGAGAGTCCTGGTGCCCTCTATGTGGATGGGCATCTACTCCATTTAGAGAAAATTCTCTGGTAAAGTCCACAGCAAGGAGAACCCAGCTCATACCTAACGGAGACAGGCTCTGCTACAGCAGGCCACAAGTGCACACCAACCTCTTTTAACTCCAACCTTGATGAATATAGTGAATTCCAGACTCCTTCGTAATTTAAAACATCAAAGTGGCATATATTTATATAGCTCACCCCTGTGAATGGTGCAACGTGATCTCAAGATACATGAACGCTGGTTTTTTCCAGACAATCTAAGGCCCTAGATTAGTCACATGGAAAGCATGCAGGACTGAGGGCAGAAGGTTCAGGTTCAAGTCCAGCTCTTGCCAATTATAAGCAAGTCACTTCACCTTCCTCAGCCTTGACTTTCTTAACTAAAAAATGGAAAGGTATCTCCTCTGCCTTCTCCATAGCTTTCAGAGATGATCAAATGACATGATTCATGGGAAAGTGCTTTGGAATGGATAAAAGCGCAAATACAGAGAGGTGGTGGTAATGATAAGCAGTGTTGTACCAGCTTATTACTTCTAAGAACATGGGTTATTCTTTGATTTTCCCCCAATGCCTAGCCAAGCCCATTCATATTACACAAATTAGAGGCAAGAACATATAAGCCACCTCACCTCCCAGTCTGTGTTACAGGCAGAGAGATGGCAAATGTGAAGTTCTGACCCAAGACTCAAAGCTATTTCAGGCACTTGGAACATCAACACAGGCGGATTGTGCTGTTTGCTGCCCTGGGGCAAGGAGCTGTCAGTCTCACTTCTGTAAGCACTGAAGTCAATGAAATTTACAAGTCTACGGAAGCACCTCAAAACATTATTGCCATCCAAGAACTCACATTATCACAGGATCTTTTTCTGGCCTAGCGTGATTATATGTGTACTTTATACCCTAGTTAAAGTGTTTATGGAAATCCTGGGGCTGAGACAGCCAGACAAAACCGAAAGCGGCAAGCCCCACTGTTGCTTGGATGAAGAGGGAGGGAAGGAATAGCACTGATAACAGGGAGTATTTATTGCGTACATATCATGTACCAGGAGCCCTGGTGGTGCAGTAGTTAACAGCTACAGTGAGCTACAGCTGCTAACTAAAAGGTTGGCAGTTCAAATCCACCAGCTACTCCTTGGAAACCCTATGGAGCAGTTCTACTCTGTCCTATAGGGTTGCTATGAGTTGGAATAGACTTGAAGGCAATGGGTTTGGTTTTTTCTGTTATCATGTACCCAGTGCACTACAGGCGTTATCTTCATGTGACGGAGTCTCTGAGTGGTATAAACAGTCAATGCGCTTGGCTGCTAACTGAAAGGTTGGAGGTCGGAGTCCACCCAGAGGCACGTCAGAAGAAAAGCCTGGCAATCTACTTCCAAAAATTCAGGCATTGAAAACTCTACGGCGCACAGTTCCAATCTGACACGTGAGATCATTGTGAGTTGGAATCTCCTCAACAGCAACTGGTTTTTGGAGGTAGAGGTTATGGTTATTCTCATTTTATATACGAGGAAGGAAAAATTTGAAGAAATTAAACCTTCCATTATGAGTTTTTTTTTTAAGTCACCCCAAATGACCATTTGATATCCACAGCAGACCTCCTGCTTTAGTTGACATCAATTGCTTAGAGTATTTGTCATGGATGCTGCTTTGAAAAACATAAATAGATCTCTCCTAGATCTCCTGCCCTCCTCCTTCAACTGCAACTGTGATGGGGACCCCCCAGTCCAGGGGGGCCCACAGCAGTGCAGAGCCAGCACCTGCTGACTGACAACACCTGACCACATGGCAGCAGCACCAACACCGCCACTACCACTGCCACCAGCAATGGGCCAGCCCCTGGATGGTGGACTTTACCTACATTACTGCCACTTATTACAACAAGCACGGGGGGTGGGGAGATGCTATTAATCACTTTCTTGGATAAGCAATAGGAGATTTAGAAAGGTTAGGTGACTTGTCTAAGGTCAAATGTCTTGTAAGTGGAAGAGCTGGGATTCAAACTCAGGTCAAGTTGGCTCTGAAGCCCATTTTCTATTACACTCATTTCCTCATTCCATTTCCCAATTATCCCTGCCTCCACTGCCCTGCCCAAACTCAAACGAACTGTTTCTCCACCCATACCAAAACCAAAACACATTGCCATCGAGTTGTTTCCGACTCATAGCAACCCTACAGGACAGAGCAGAACTGCCCCATAGGGTTTCCAAGGAGTGGCTGATGGATTCGAACTGCCGACCTTTTGGTTAGCAGCTGAGCTCTTAACCATTGTACCGCCAAGGCTCCTTCTCCAGCCATAGAAGGTATTTATGAAGTAAAATCTTACAAATGGCACATCTTTAATTATTAACGTTGTTGATATTGTTGTTTGTTGCTGTCGAGTCTGCTCCAACTCATGGTGACCACCTGTACAACAGAGTGAAGCACTGCCCAGTCCTGAGCCATCTTCATGATAGCTGGTGTGTCTGAGTCCATTGTTGTGGCTACTGGGTAGTGTCCTTCAACCTACGGGGCTCATCTTCCAGCCTCCAGAATACAGAACAATATTCTGTTGTGATCCATAGGGTTTTCATTGGCTAATTTTTAGAAGTAGATTTTCAGACCTTTCTTCCTAGTCTGTCTTAGTCTGGAAGCTTCACTGAAACCTGTCCACCATGGCTTACTCTGCTTGTGTTTGAAATGCCAGTGGTATAGCTTCCAGCATCACAGCAATACTCAAGCAGAGACTTAGGTACATTTGGAGTTTGAGATTCCTCTGACTTCCCCCTACTACTTGTGGTCTAGGTGGAGTTTATAAATATTACTATTCAAATCACCAGGACTCCACTCCTTTTGGCCTGTATCCCTCCTCTTCCTGGGTCCAGGCCAAGCTGCACTCTTGACTCAGCTCTTGAGTACCTGAGAAACAGTTCTGCCAGAGTAAGTCTGTTTAAATTCTCATCCTCTCCTTTAGTCCTCCAAATAGTATCTGAGTCTCATAGGTGCTTTTCAGCTGGTAATGAAAGAAATTTTGCTAATGGTATGTTAAACAGTAAATAGATAAAAATACAAGAAACAGTGAGGTAAGTAACTAGGTTGAGACCCGACAGCTAGAGTAAATGCCTTAGGTTGCATTCCAGTGAGGGAGGAATGAAAGAAAGGCAAAGCAGTGGAGGCTGGAAGAACAGGGATCACAAAAGTAAGGATATTGGAGAAAGTGCCCTGTATTTCCTTATATTTTGTGTTTAGAAACTACAAGCCTAGATAAAAGAACTAAGACACGACTGTCATTGTGTACTCATATGAACAAGTTAGCATCTAACACATTCACTGCAGGAGTGATTCCCAACACTAGCTAGGAGTCAAGTCTGTGTTCTGTAGCTGAGTGGCCAGCATTGGAAAACAAAATTTCAGTGGAAATACTGTGGTGAATGGAGGTGACCGTGTGCATTATAAAAGGAAAATTTTACAGCCAGCATTTATTGAAAAATATGTGCTGGACACTCTTTTAAGTTACCTGGATTAACTCTCTTAACCCTCAATAACAATGAAGGTACTATTATTATCATCCCCATTTTACAGATGAGGAAACTGAGAAACAGTGAAGTAACTTGCAGTGGCATGGCCAGAAATCAAATCCAGCATTCTATCACCAGAGCCAATGTTTTCAGTCACCACATGATCAGATTGGTTTGTCATCTTCCTAAACTTCCTTAAAAGACTCATCTCTTTGCAGTGAGGAGTGGGCAAACAACAAATCAAGAACAACTTGGTCTTCAACAGCAAATAACGAAAACGCTTTCATGTATTTGGCATTTATGGCATGTTGTCTGTGTTAGAATCGAGGATAAAGTATTAATATGTTTT